ACATAAGGCAGTCGTGGGAAATAACGATAACATGAGCAACAGTACAACAATCTTTCCTTATAGATAACCTAGTTATAGCTCAACAAATTTTTCTTAGCTAGGCGTTTGAAAAGCACAAAAGTGGGAGTGACGAGTGCCTACATTAGATTTAAGAGAAGCATATATAGACCCCGCACGACTATAAAAGGTAACACGAGATTGTGTTACCTTTTATAGTGCATGGATCATCTATGTGATTATTGATATGTGCATTTTTGACCATTCAAAAATTTCACGTACTTCTTATTTCAGCGTCGTCGTGTACATCTCACAGACTATTCGGCAAGGAAAAAGCAGCGGGAGAAAGAGAAAGAAAAACTGAGAAAGGCAGGACTTCTGGAAGATGCTAATCCTAAGTCAGGGTCGGCTGAACCGGAAGAGAAAACGCAAACGCCACAACCAGAAACACCTGAGCCAGTCATAAAAGCTCCGTCTGTCAACAAGTTAGTAACATCTAGATCACGTATTTAGTGCCAAGAGGTGGTCTGTTTTAACAGAGAGGGGGAGGGTGAAGGTAAGGCGGTCTGGGGCATTGTAAGTAATGCTTCTAATACCACGACAAACACCTCTTTTTACAAGAAGTTCAAAAACTAATACGCATTTGTTTTTTCTTCGCACAAGGGAACTTGTTGATCTACTCTGAAATTCCCTCCACCCAAAATTGGATTTATTGCAATCTGCACAAACCCGCTCCCTCTGTTTGAACAGATCTCAAAGACACTTCGTTCAAACTCGAATTCACTTGATACTTCGAAGATGTGAGTAATTTATAGGTACTCACCATTACAATTAATGGCTGATCATCTGCTCCGGAAGGTGATGTCGAAAGATCCAGAAGAGTATTTTGCTTTCCCAGTGACACCATCAATGGCGCCTGACTATCATGCAATCATAGCTCACCCGATGGACTTCTCAACAATGCGGTAAGTGCAGATACATGAGGCTATCAGAGATTTTGCTTCTTCGTACCGAACAAGCACCACCCCTGTGGTGTCCCATTGGCAGAAACATATCTACTCACCCTTCTATCAAGAGGTGCAACTTTGCCGTGCTGGGAGTTGGAAAAAAAATCTCTTCAGGTGGTTGTCAGACTCGGTGATTCTGCAATCGCGACAGTGCTGTCGCAGTTGCAATCTGCGATCACTGGGATTATGGCTTGTGCCACATTTGCGGCGATTGCAATTTGCTCGAGAGGGGTGGGGCGGCCAATGCAAACCATACGGGTTTATCACGACGCACCTCGCCCACCTCTACACGTCGACGATAGTGCGTCGCGGTGCATTGTGCAAGGGAGTGGGACGCAGCGTGACACAGTTGTGCGTCACTACAATGTTTTTTCTGCGCATGCGCGAATTCTTTCCCGCTTTTTTCGCGTTCTCCTACAGGTGAGTTATAAACGACACGGCTCTTAGAATTTTTGAAACTCTTCCTGCTAAGGGTTCTCTTGGTCTGAGTAATTTTCAATTTGGTTGGTTCTTTAAATGTTTATTGTTATAAGCATGTAAATAAAACATGTAGTATAAGCAGATACAAAAGCGCCAGAACATATGTAGTTGGAATAGGCAATAGGGTTTGCTCTTGTCATGCTATCGAAGGCATAATCAACCGTATTGCCTTCACCTTTAGGTTCTTCCTTATGGTTAGTAATATTTAACATAGCACTGGCTGGTGTGATAGGTACAGTTTTTTTCTCTGCGATTGCTTCTACTAATTCTTATAAATGAGACGAGGATCGATGCAGACCTGTTTTTGCATTTTTTTTACACTTTGTTCTACTTCAGCCAAAAGATCGAGGACAATGCCTATGAGACGATAAGTGAGATGAAAACCGATGCAGAGCTGATTGTATCGAATGCGCTAACATACAATAATCCTAATACGGTAAAATCTCGAAAATTCACCACGACACGTTAGCGGACTTAATCAACTATAATCCTCGTTCAGGTTTACCATCTGGCGGCCACGCGACTTTCATCGATAGTGAAGTACTACTTCTCGGAGCAGTATCTTCGCTACATATTTCACACACTCCCCTTTGCGAATCAGGTGAGATGTCGATCGATCCGTCTGTGAGCGGAGGTTGCAGTTCGTTTTGGACAATGACGTTGAACGAGAATATGTTTTAGATACCCTTGGAGAAAGCTGGTCTTGCACCTCTTGCTGTCACGACGCATAAGCAAGAGAATCGGCGTCGACAAGCGCTTGTAGATGATATGACTGGTGAGGATTGTCTCAGAATTGCTGACTCCGCAGTCCGATCAAGACTTTCGGTTCGCTTGCCAAATGCTAAACTGGCGTTTTTGGATAACAAGGTAGGAGAACGGATTACTGGATCTAGATTTTGCTCGGAATTTTTGAACGGAGAAGCGTACAGGCAAACCGTCGTAGCATACACTATTTAGGATGGAGCAACTGTTTTAAATGTAATTGGTGAGACAGAAAAGAAAGGTTTGAAGCTTGGCGATATTGTTGGACCATTGGAAGAAGGCACGCCCGGCATGTTAAGTCTTGGAGATCACAGGTATAGTGTTTTTCCTTGAATGTTACTTATAGGTTTTAACTATGTCGTTTTAGCCATTAATTTTCCGAACAAATCACATTTTGCACGCAGGGTCAATCGTCGTGTTCGGACATTTTCAAAATTTTGACACACCCCTTCCCTAAAGGTCTCGATGCAGTCCTTGTCATAGTTTGATTTAAACTGTATGGAATTCGCCATGCAACGGTGCTCCCAGCGTAATATAAATAGATCACCGTCTTGCGGGCGAGTGCACCAGATTTCCTTCACACGGCGACAATGAGGGAAGTGTAAAGTAACCCTTTCTAAACCGACATAACCTCCGCACTTTCGGAAGCCTTCTAATATCGTCTCAAATTTTAGGAGGTTCTTTTGTTATGAAGTAGAGAGCTCACATTGAAGCAGTTTGATGCATTTCAATGAATTCTCAATTTTTCTTCTCAAAGATCACTGCATCATTCAAGTGCGACTTTCGGAAGAGCTGTGAAAGGTTTAGGAAAGTTCAAGTGTTTCTTCTCCTAAAAATTTTTAGGACATTCTGTTAGAAATTGCAAGAAAGTACAGGAGCTGAGCTTTCCAGTTAGTACCTGGTCGTTTTTCGGAGTATTTTTTTTGAAAAAATCCGCACAAACTTTTTCATTGAGTTTTCAGCAGTAACTTCGAGTTTTTGGGTTAGCATCAATAGGGTTGGGGTTCATAGCTTTCTCCAGAAGCCTATTTCGGTTGAGGAAAGGAGTCCTTGGAAACAGTTTTGTATCTGATGACATCAAATTTTACTTGAAGAAGCTTCCTTTGAAAATCTGGCTTTTGTAGAATCTTCATTGTCAGTCTGCAGAGGCAACCCTTCCATATCTTTGCTCTTGCTTGCCCTTTACAAAGTCCGAACAATGAGATGAATTTAAAATAGTCGTGGCTATTTGAATAATTTGGTTGATAAGTTGGTTGCTCTTAGATGCATCACGCACAGACACGCGTTCGGCTCAAAGTCGCGGAGGCCTTTGAAGGTGTATTCCCTCCTGTGCAGCCCCAATGTGAGCCATTCCGACGATGGTCGTGTTATGGGTTAGCGTAACCTGAAATGCGGTTCAGTTTTATTGAGACTGCATAGGCTTGGTATGCTTGCCATTCTCCTTGCGACCTCAGAGAATGTTTTCCTTTTCGTGTTGATCTAGTGAGAAGTAAATGCATGGTATTTCAATCTACCATGATTGTACATCACAGCGTCTTTTATAGCAGCGGTTAAACGGGAGGGCAGGGCGAGATGGAGTGGTTGATCTCCAGGGATAGCGACCACTACACACCACTAGCAAAATACGACCTTCCTCCGTTCGTGCTCGAATGGACAGTTGACACTGCTTGCACATTGTGCTATTCTTTAGAGTTATGCCGGCGTGTAGGTTCCTGAAGATATGTTCAAGCCCAGTTCTCATAAATATTTCATTTTAGGTTATCTGGGCAATCTATGGTAACCTACTTGAATTATGGACCGTTCTCTTCATTTGCTCCGCAGTATGACTCAACATGGGCCACGCTCACAAAACGAGACTCGGATCTACTATTGAGGTTTGGTTTGCTGTTAAGACTTTTTTTTTGCAATCTGCGTGCTCGTTTAGTGTTTTTGTGCTGCTGTTCGTGCATATAACAAAGATACCCGTGGCGGCATCCTCTTTTTCTTAGTCTGATGGACTTCCTTCTCTCCTTTGATTTTGCGTTTAATACGTTTCCTAACTCTTTCTAGTCGCTGTGTTATGTCGTGCATTCTACGACCCTTCACTTTACTTTTTCAAAACTCATCCCATTTCGTGACTCTTATTTCGAAACTAATATGATATTTTCTCTAATAGCTTGAAATCTCTGAGTACAGTTTTCATTCAGTTGGTTTAAAAAATATGAAAATAGTTCAGAACGTACGGTGATCGTTCCACAGTGGCAGATGTAATGTCTTTGAGAGACATGGTAGCCGATGCAGGAGCTCACTTCGTAAAGGTGACTTTCCACTTCGTCGCGTGGATAATTCAAGTTCACAATTGTGGTATCCTTAGGTTGTTGATGATCTTCTTGATACGCTGACAGATGGTGAACATTCGAGAGCAATGACGGAGCTCAAGAAAGGAGAGAAGGTAAGCTAATCGCAAAGAAGTTGAAACTAGTGGGCATGTATATGGAAACTATTAAAGCTAGTTCATTTTTTTGCCACCGTTACCGGTCGGACCTCTTCTTTTTTGACCAAGTGTTGATCTAGAGGGAATGAATGCATTAGCTGATCACACGTGTGGCAAAGTTCTTCTACTATCGCTGCTTGTAAGTTTTTTTTTTTCAGCGAAGCTGTAAGACACAAGACACCGAAGACTATCTCAGCCAGTTGTTTCTGAAGTGGAGTCGCATAGAACCTTTGCGTGGACGTCTCGTTGTGCAGCGCATATACGCGGGAAAAATCTATCATCAGTAAACCAATCGGATTTGCAGGTAGTCATACAAGATTGAACATAAGATATGAAACTGGTTCTTGAAGGGCATGAGGAGATTGGGAATGAGAGAAATGAAATGGTTAATGAGTTTACGACGTACTATGTTATGCGGGGCGGTTTTTATTTTTTGACTGCTTTGCAATTTTAAAAATTTCCTTTGGTTGAGCCTTCGGATGCTGTTGCAAGATCAATTCGCAGTGCACCGTATAACTGCTTGATCCACCGCAGTTTAAAGCAATAGGAATTCCTTGAAAGTTAAAAAATCGTGTCGCGAGTAAGCTTAAACCTTATGTCTGGATGTTTGTCCCCGTGTTGTGTGGATGTCGTCTTTTCCATCTTCCATGTTTTTGCAGTCTCAACTAGAAATGAGTGGACGAGCCATGCTTGATTTGGCTAAACTTCAAAACAAGCGGCTTTCACAAGCTCCACCAATTACGCTCTTACGAATGTACCGCCACCGACGGTTATTGAAACGCAACTAGCTGGAAATCTTCAACGACAACTGGCTACACAGGTACGATTTGCAAGTTAGTGTGTTATTGTTGGATTTGAAAAGGGACAACGATCCCTCATGCTGAAATATTTGTTGTCGTTAGTTTCTTTTGAAAGCGGCCATTAATATGTATTTTCTCTCGTGCTCTTATTTCCTTTATGCATACGCTGAGCGTCTTCTGTTTTTCCACATTTCCATGTTAAATTCTATCACCTTCAAAAGTTATTGTAAATGCTGCGGTTGTTTATATGAAGGTGATTACAAATGACCACTAAGAAGACAACGTTGTCGTTCAAAATCAAAGCAACTAGATCAGTACTAGTTTGACAGTAGTACATATTTTATGGCTAGTCGCGCCGAACAACTATAGTTTATTTCTCGTGGTTGAGCGATGCACTTTAATCGCAAGCAAGGGGGTTTCCTGCTCATTGCTTGTTGTGGTAGGCTCACTGATGTCGGAGCTTGTCGAATAATCGCTTGTAGCAATCTCAACACGCGTGGCTTAAGATTCAAATAGCAGCGGATGCTAAACTCGCCGCAAGAGTCGCCGCAGCTCTCATGTCTCGACCCACATGGCCGCTGCTTAGTTTCATTGCTCAAACATTGGGGAACGAAAGATGATGTGTAGTTTCCAGTCATGAAACATGCAAATGTAATAACTTATTCCTTTGTTGGAATGGCCTGCATCCAACGGCGATTTCGTCGTCGATGTTTTCGATGACGGAATCCCCATTGGAGTGCAGGTCCCTCGTCCTTCACCGTTCCTCTGGGTCTTGTAGCGTAATATTCTTTCTGATTAAGCGGAAATATTGTTCTGTGATGGACATTTGATTAATGAAGAAACAAGTCATTATATATTCAAAAGGGCAGCTGTTGTGCTTTGAGGCTTGCCACGCTGACGACAGGTCGAAGTGCATGCGCGTCAGATATTTGAGACCCATCGGTTATTCTACGCTGGCGCGCATGCGGTCAACCATCTTGGTACTTCCTTCGCAGCACATCTCCTCATTTCTTTGACACATCTCTAATTTCTTCCGAAATTTTGTTACTATTCTAGAGACAATAATCACCATGCCTATGAACGGCATGGTCCATTGAAAGATTAAATGTGCTTTAGTTGAGCAAAAATCCTTATCCTTACAACCTCACTAAAGTTCCAGTTTGATTCAATCTTGGGTTTTTTTTTCATTTTGGAATAAACAAGCCAATAAAAACAAAGTTTAAAAGCAAACAACAATAAGATACGACAATGTTAAGGTATTACGATTCTATAGATGACGTGATTTGTTTTTATTGCAGCAGTCATCAACCCTTTTTGGTTTTCGAGGTCGCGAAGAGGTCATAGTTGCGAAACTTGTGCAGCTCTTCTGTGAGAAGTTTTCGAGTCTTTCGTCATAAAACTTTGGAGTCGTCACTGTTTTTCAAAGATGTTGATTACCATGAAACATCGGGACAGGACAGCATCAAAGATTCTCAAACTAGTTATTCTCATGCTTCATTCCAAGCGCGTGTGTGTGCGTTCTCGTCAAGGATATCAAACTCAAAATGTTTATTGGTTATGACTTTGTTTCATCATATTTGCAAGTTTTATTTTTTGTTCCACTACTTTGACTGTCTGAGGTTAAGCCCCTTTTCTCTTTGATTTTATGTTTCAGGTTGCCGCGCATGCGCCGCCGGGAGAGATCGTTTCGGCTCCTGCCATTCACAACGCAATTGGCATCCAGGACGAGTTGGACATGGATATTTTTGGAGAATTTTTCGTTACTTAACATTCCTGCAATATGTATTTAGGATTTGAGCACCATTTACGATTCTGTGTGTTATTTTTGGTATACGTTTCTTGAAATCATTTTGTTTTGGCATTTGTTCTAACCAATATATGATTAATCACAGTTTTGTACTAACTTGTAGTTTTACTAATCACTTGCTTCTCGCTGTTACTGTCTGTAGTGTGATGCTTTTCCGTCTGCTTGGTAGATAATCGATGGTCTCAAGTGTAAATGTTGAACTGATGGTCTCAAGCATAAATGCTGCGTTAACTGCGTAGAATTTTTCGTGGTATGGACCTACTTTTATTAGAGATCTTCGTTTGTTAGGAAAATCACCTATTTTTTCTTCTGTCCTTCTGTCACTACGAAATTTGAATTTGCTGAACTGTACTGTCTCATTATTCGATGGAAGGAGTGAGGAGTGGAGAGGGGAAGGAGGGCTTGATGGAGAAAAAGTTCCATTTCAAGAATGAAGCTTTTGGAGATTCCTTCCTTCACTCTCTAACGGGATGTGACTTGCTGGACAGAAAGCGACTTTTTCGCGTTTTGCAGC